TTGTTTGTACATGTTTTGGTTGTTTTAGAGAAAAATAGCAGTGAATACGGACATTCAAACATAGCACGTATTTACAACTGCATTGGGCATCTTTATATTTGAGAGGGGAGAGTGAATCTTTGGCTATAAAGGACTTCATGACACAGATATTATGCTGTTCTTGTATGTGTAGCTTGTAACCTGTAGCGCTGCAAGAAAATGTTTTGTAAACTCGCCTGAAAACTACTAAAGCAGCTCCTCAGTGGTCTGGCTGAGGGTGAAAACACATGAAGGGTTGCACTGCCTGCTCCCTGTTAAAAAGGGAAACGGGCAGATTGCCAAAGAGAAATTTGTTATGATGGAGACGGAGCGTTGACTCCGTGACCCCATTTGCAAAAGCCCAAATAGCAAAATCCTCTCTTCTGCCTGGTGTCCATTTCCTTGAATTGATCCAGAATGCATTAAGCAGACACAGTTACGCCGTATAATTGCATTTTGTCTGCGCATACAGGAATAAAAAGCGCAAATAGAAACACGTGGAGAGCTACTGTACGTAAGAATAGCTGCCCTCGCTGCATCTCCATTCACATTCATTTTTAATGCACGGCGAACAAGAAACATGATGTTACAGTGAGAGTGGAAAGGCACTCTGTTCGCACCTTTCTTGAGCCAAGGGAGAAGGAGTTAGTGTGTGTGTTAGTTTCAGTTTCATCCAGATGTGTGTTCTAGATGGACGCTGCATCTGTACACTGACACACAGAGTGACACAATCATTATTGGCTTATTCTTACTCATGCATTCGATTTTTCTTCCCGCGTCTCTCTCTGGACTTTGCTCTTATTTTGTGCGTCTTTGTGTTGTGGTAACAATGATGTATATCCGAGTCTGTGTTCTCGTTTGTTCTGGTTTATCAGCCCCATTCTCTGTCTCCCTCTCACTGAGAAAAGGATATTTTTCCTGACACGCTCCAATTGGCGCATTGACGTATCGATCCTTAAGCCCTAAAATCAACACCATAGATTTTGTATATGTGTTTGTGCCATGGCGCATTAACCTTCCCTCTGCATTTTATCACCGCTCTAGATGACGTACGGAGCCGACGACACACCTTCACAAATAACCTTGACTCTTTTCAGGGCTTGTGCTTTTACTGCTTTCTGCTTTCCTGTGTTTTTCATGCCGTTAATGGGCTAAAAAGCATATCTGGCGTCATGTGCTGTGGCTGTTCTTCAGATCAGCTGAAGGGGTCAGAAAGCAACAACACGTGTGTCCTTGAGATTCAGCGGAGCTCCAGATCCGAAGGCAAAACACACTTAAAACGAGACAAAGAAGCCCAGGAAGACTAGCTGATGGGGATGCTAATAAAAGAAAGAAAACTTTGTTTAGCCTGGTATGATCAACAGCTAAACTTGGCTGATGTTATCAACTCATATTCCTCTATACACTAAAACATTTTAATTTTAAAAACGTGTACAGGCCACACTACTATGGAGTTTTCTGACCCCTTTAAACAGACACTTGTGGAAACGCTGCTGTTCCTGTTTCAGTTTTAAAACTCAGAGGTTGTGTTTTAGTTTGGATCCGTAGAAATAAGGACTCGGTTTTAAAGTTAAAATGATTTTTTTTCCCAAAGTTTATTAGTAAAGTTTGCACAAATATGGAGATCTTTTATATATATATATATATATATTCATTTTGCAACAAAAAAGTGAGACATAAAAAAATCCAACATAGTAATAATAAATAGTACTAACAGGGGAAAACACAGTAGCAACACAAAAGGTAATTTAAAACAATACAGACACACAAGTATACAGAAAAATGTTACAGGTAAGTTATACACAAAAGTTTTTGGGATTTTTTTTTAACTCAAAATAAATAAACCAAAGCGAACAAATAACATTTAAAAAATTTTAAAAAACAGCTTCTTTTTTATCATTAATATGAACCTCATTAAATTTTTCTGGATAAATACTTTCTGAAAATCATTCACATTATTAACAGCAACAACAACTGAGCGCAACATCACAATGCAAATCCACACAAATGTTTAGATCGTATGATAGTCCTTATAAAATGGTGCCCAGTTTCAGAGAGACGGTCGTTACAATTAACGTCTATAGTCAAATCAGTGTTTCTGTAAAATCAAAGGTCATTTCAAGGAAATGATAAAAACATCTTATAACAAATTATTTTGGAAACTAACACTTGCCAAACTTCAGAATACCAAATGAAAGCTCCTAATGTTTGGTTATTTATAATGGAACAGAATACAAATCGTCATAGTTACTGAGTCATAAAATTCTCCTAATCAGATAAAATCTAAAGGAGTTAAAACACTCTGCTACAGACTTCAGCTGCGACACAAAGGCAGATTCTCCCATCAAAATAAAACAAGCTTTCATTGAGGAGTAATGGCTCGAACTCGTTAAAAAGCACTCTCATTCCACATTCACCGTTTTCAGCTGCCATCTCTTTCTGAGAAACGCTGTGTTTTCATGCTGGCTGTGTGGATACAGTCCACATATTGACAGGTTTTATGACAGCCAGCAGAGCGAACACGGAGCCATATTGATGTTTGAGCCGAGCAGCTGAGGCAGCAGGCAGGTGGCCCAGATGGGCTTTGATGGCCGAGTCGCAGGTTGAACACTCCCACGGGTGAGACGCGGGTCTTTATCTTGTCTTTACTGCCCCGTGCAAACACCCTGGGGTCTTATCACTGGCGACGGAGGGGGGAGGGAGGCGGTACTGCTTTTGAAAGGACGGAGGGTCGTTCTCTAGCTATCAGCGTGAGGGTACCAGCGGAAACTCTACCTTAATCCACTGGCTTAATCAATCAAGGGCAAACATGAGAGCTTCCTCCAGAGTGAAAGCAAGAGATGTTTGATTTCGCCACACAGACAGCATGGTGTCATCAGCTAAAGTGACGGCGAGCAGGGCTGATCGAAACGGGAACAGCTGGAGTGGCACTCAGTTGCCTAAACAAGCGGCGTTGTTAATGCTTCTCGTGGCGCACAGAGTCCCTGAGCTCCATCTCCATGTTAACCTAGCTGTAGGTATACTGACGGCCACGGCTATCTCTTTAAATCACCGTCGTTATCGTAAAAACGTATGCGAGCCAGAGTCCCCATTAGCCAGAGTGAGCCATACCGTGGAGCACATTCTGTACATTTTCCGTGAACTACAGTGGTACGAAAGCAGCAGGACGTACTGCAACATATGCAAAAGAGAAAACCAGGCCAGCAGTAGGAATTTATGTAATTTAACTCTAAAACATAACAGCACAACTTGGTTTATTTGAGTATTCCACACTAAATGCAGCCAAGTATGAGCTTTAAAACTTACACAAACTCTTATATACAGAGTCACGGTGGAAAATGATAACACAGCAGCAGATCTCCTTTTTAAAGTCCCTCTCCAGTTGTTGATTTAACCCCTAAAATGTGTCTCTGTGTATCACAGTTGCATAATAACAATAATAATAATAATAATAACAATAATCCCTTTTGCCTTAAAATGGCATACGTGTAACTCTACACTGCTGCTTCCTTAAAAATGGGCAGATTTATGAAAACACAGTTTTACAAGCTCAGATATATTCAACGTAGTTCAAAAATTCTTTTTACTTTTAACCCTGTAATTGTCCAGAATTACATAATTTATCAACTAGAATCTTTCTTTTTCTTCCTGACAGTCCCTACACTGCTCATCTGTAACGTTCGGTCTGAGAAACTTTACCAAACCAAGCTTACAGTCATTTTTCATCAAAGTCTTTGCTCTGCAAGTCTTATCTGTTTTTAAAAAAATCACAAAAAATAAAATACTTGTTTAAAAAATAAATAAATAAATAAAAATCTGCACTCCTTGGCACAATGGCAACACGCACTTTTTGGCTGAACTGAGCTTGAACATATGTAGGGCCATCTTTTTTTTCTACTGTTGGTAACACCTGTAGGCACTTTGAGCATTATGTATATGTTGACAAATAAGTAAACAAATAAATTCTGCTTCTGTTTTTCCATTATTTATGGCAATATAATTTTGTCATACTGCACAAGAGATATTGCTCAGTTCTCTCTACTTCTAGTCATGGTCGTGCTGTTTCCATTGAGGTGCAGGATTTAATATTGCAGTTAAAAAAAATGAGCCCACAGTGAGTAAAAAAAAAACTGACAGCAGCAGCAAACACTCAGAAACTACTTGGCGTAAATCGACCAAAAACACCTCACCTTAATGGACCTCAGTAATGCTTCTCTGACTGATAAATATTCATGTTTTAACTCCCACATCCCAAATTTGCACCTTTTTTGTAGAAAAGCTGTCAATTACAAGAAAAAAAAAAACCCTCATGGCATCATTAGGGCTGTTTTCTCAGCCTTGAAAAGGCTCCTCCAGAGCCACACAGAACTACATACAGCTGTTTTCACAAACTGAGTTTCTGTGACTAACAGGCTGGTGTTGAAGTGTGAAATCAGCGGAGTTCCCCTTTAAGGTGTTCAGACTGTGACTGCACCTCGGCCTCATCGCCTGCTGTAGATGAATTCCTAGCGTAGCGTTTTATTTGTGCTGAGATGACTTGGCAGCACTTTGCTTGATTCGATGATCAAGACGGATCAGAGAGACACATCAGTCTGATTACTGCTGGATCCTGTGACCTGGAATCAACCCACCTCCAGGAAACAGAAAGAAAAGCACTGATTTTCAGCTTTGATGTTTGCTCTTTGTCTTGTGTGTTGCTTTTAGGCTTTCCTCCTCCTGCTGCAGGATGCTCAGCTAACTCTTTGTACATCTTTTTCTGTGCTCTTTATTTGCTGTGCGGCGTTTTGCAGACCGAGCTGCGGGTCTCTGCTGTCGCTTGGTGGTTCCCTGCCACAAAGGGATGCCCCGCCTCGCCGACCTGTCCGTCAAAACCAAAGACGTGTGGGAGATCCCACGGGAGTCGCTGCAGCTGATCAAGCGTCTCGGGAATGGGCAGTTTGGGGAGGTCTGGATGGGTACGGATCCAGTCGCCTCCGGAGGACGAGGCCGTATGGAAGGAGGCTGCAGAGACGCCAGACACACTCCAAAACACAAGCCAATAATCCGGCCTGGGAGGGGATGAGGGGATCAGATGAGAAAAATGGAGCATTTTAATAATTCTCAGTTTGGGAACGTTGCCATGGAAATGCTCGTGGTTTCTCTGACCCCTTTCCTCCCAAAATCAGCTGGAAAAGCAGCCGGTGTGTCAGGAGACTCTGCTTTCGGCGTAAAGATGGCCTCCTTCCATGTGTTCCTCACTGCATGTTCCCCTCCCTGGTAGTTAACCCTGTGTGCCTTGCCTTCCCTCCCCCCCTGTAGAGAGTGCGGATGGTTTGTGCTTTAATTTAACCGACGTGTGTGTGAACTACATCCCTGACACTGTGGGCTTGAGTCATGATGCCTGGGAGATCAGCAGAGACGCACTTGAGTTGGAAGTAAAGCTGGGCACAGGATGTTTTGCTGATGTGTTTTATGGTAAGGACATCCAAAAAATGTTTTTAAAGAAATTCACACACCCTTTTTAAATTGTTACCTTGGGCCACCCAGGACATACATGCGGAGCTTTTTATTTATCCTCATCCCTGCATTCTTAAATGTGCCAAGAAACAATTTGCAGTTTTGTTTACCAATTTGAGATGAAAGCAAATGCTTTCTTATCCCTCTCCAGCATTCCCACAGGATTTTTGTGTTGGTTTTTGAACACGTAATCCATAAAATGTCTTTGAAAATCAGCTCCTATTCATGAATGCGGTTTTCCTACCTCATTGTTATTTCCAGTAATCTGCATGCTTTGCAGTATGGAACTCCAAATTTACCTCAATAAACAAACCATCATAGAGAAATAATCACACATGAGCTGTTGAAGACATATTGTCGAAACAGTGGCCATGTTTTGTGAGCATTGTATTGTATCACCTTAAAGTAAAAGGTCAATGAAACCGCCACAATTTCACTAAAATCTTTATATACTCTCTTGAGATTTTTTTTGACTTTTTCCAGAGCCTAAGGTGGTGATGGGGACATATTTTTTGAACGAACATTTAACTTACATGACCGCTCAGATGTTTTTGCTTCTTACGTTGTCTTCACCTCTGAACACCATGAAACATGTCCAATATACCGTAAATTCCAGACTGTTGAGCGCACCTGAATATAAGCCGCACCCACTAACTTTAAAAAGAAAACAAGTTTTGTACATCTATAGGCCGCACTTGTCTATAAGCCGCAGGTGTCCACGTTGTAACATGAGATAATTACAAAGATATTGTACAGAAAGATTTTATAAACTTTTAATAAAATACGTACCAGTAACATACACAAATACGTACCATAAATGCTTTTTTTCCAAACAATGCCTGTAACACGGCTGGTTAAAAAAAAATAAAAAATACAGCAGCCTACCAGGAAAAGTCATTGATTGCTATCTTTATCTTCCTCCTGTGCACTAAAACCAATAAAGTTCTTCAGTGTCGGAATTGAACAACCTCAGAATTACTTCGTCACACACTTCCTCAGTCTCTCTTTCGTTGTCGCTCTCAATGTCACTTTCGTCTCGAGCTAATTTGTAAATCTTGTAAAAATCCATAAATTAGCCGCATCATTGTTTAAGCTGCAGTGGTCAAAGCGTGTTAAAAAACAAGGTAGCGGCTTATAGTCTGGAATTTACGATATAGCTGACATTAAGAATTTTTTAAAACTTTAGAACGCCTGAGCACAGTTCCAGAAGACTTCTATTTACTCTCATAGATTGCCAAAGTTTTGTTTGTTTCTTCCTCTTTAAGTTTTTTTTTAGCATTTAGCAAACAGTTGATTTTATTTCTGGCTTTACCACCATGAACCAAGTAACATTGCCTCTATTGCCAACCATAGAAACAATTTAATGAAACGAGACAAATTCACATTTTCTGTTTTTTTCAGCATTTTAAAAGTTAACTTTAAAATTGCTCAGCAATTATATGGAAACATGGATAAGTCTCTGCACGAGCATAGAGTAGCACAATCACCCTCATATGGTTGGCTGCAAACCACATAAGCTTTCAAGCTGATGTCTTCTTCTTGTTTGTAAGTAAAGCCACAATGACAGCAGACTTCAAGCATTGAATTTTAAAAATTTATGAAATAGTTTCATAGTTTAATTGCTTCTGATTTACTCTGTTCCTCTAACTTTTCCTAATGTTTGAACTATTTTGGACTTCCATACTGCAGAACATGAAGGTCAGTGTTCAGATATTGGGGTTTAGGCCTCTCCCAGATGACACCCAGCCTCTGGGATCTTATTACCTCCCCACCCAGCAGGTTGCTGTCACCCGCTCGGTCCCAGCTGCCAAAAATGACTGCACAGCTGCATTACTAAAGAAACCTCCTCTGATATATGAGTTTACTCCTAACTTAAGTCCCTGAACCTACCAAACACAAGCAGGCCAAATGTTAGCTGATGCTCAGTCCTCCCTTTCAGTCCCTACTAATATTCCTGCATGCGTAACTGTCACAGAATGAGATAAATAAAGTGCTACTTTATTGGAGTGATTACAGCGATCCATATCTTATTATGAGCGCAGTAGCTGGAGACGGCACACATCGGTGGCGTGTCCATGCCGTGTTACAGTAACTGACATGCAACCAGCAAGGAGCTTACAGGCTTGCTTTTGTTAATCATCCTACAAAGGATTATCTGCTCCCGTGTTGGCGTATTGTGGCTCTCAAAGCCCTGCTGGATCTCTCTCCTCGCTTTTAAAAGCCATTTCAAATCGAGGTCCACTCTAAATCTCGTACCCATTTAATTATCCTTCAGACCAACCTCTGCGCACGAGAATTACAGATGAACTGATTCTTGTACAGACTCCTGATCTCATTCTGTGTCGCATGTTTACCTCATTGTCATTTCAAAGCAAGACTTTTCCCCTTGTTTTTGACACCAGTCGCCTCTCAGCCGCCAATCATCTCCTCAGGTTAGACAGCAGGGTTGTCAAGTCTGACTTTGAAATGACACGATTTGAATATGAATCGGTGTTCCCGCTGTACTGATGCCAGCGTCGGTGTGTGTGTGTGTGCCAGGAACGTGGAATGGCACCACGAAGGTGGCGGTGAAGACTCTGAAGCCTGGCACCATGTCCCCTGAGTCCTTCCTGGAGGAGGCTCAGATCATGAAGAAACTGCGCCATGATAAGCTGGTGCAGCTCTATGCCGTGGTGTCTGAGGAGCCCATTTACATCGTCACAGAGTACATGGGCAAAGGTAGGCGGATGAACACAAAACTATGCACATACGCTCACTAACTGCTCTTTTCCAAAGCATTCGGCCTCCTGAGAGTTTTTTAACTTTTTGTTGCGTGGTTTTATAACTTCAGTCCTGTGCAGCGTCCCTTCTATGTTATGTAATGGATAGCAGAACTTTAGAAAGTCATATTAAAATGCAAAACCCTCACTAGCAGCCCCTTAAGGCTGCAATGCATCCAAAGTGTAGCATAGAATAGATTAGAATAGATTTTCTTTATTGTCGTTGGACACTGCAGCATTCCTGTTGATGCCTTCACACAATCAGAAAACTTTATTTTTGAATATATAGTAAAGAATGTGCAAATATAAAAATACTAAAAAATAAGAACAACCACAAGTAAAAGTGGAACCTATGAATTAGTGATATAGGTTACTGTTGTGGCCCTGTGATAGACTGGTGACCTGTCCAGGGTGTCCCCTGCCTTCGCCCTAAGTCAGCTGGGATAGGCTCCAACCCCCCCGCGACCCTCGTGAGGATTATGCGGTATATAGATAATGGATGGATGGATGGATTACTGTTGTAATGTTTAATTTTAGTTTATTTCCTTTATTAGGAAAACCATATAAACAGTGGTGTAACTGAGGTTGCACTTTCGTATATTGCACATTTCTGAATATTTACAACAATGTCATGGCTTATAGTAGTGCAAAATGTGCTTACAAGTTGCAGTTATTTGTAAACAGATGTACAGGTTCAGTGTATAAATAGAAGGTGCACAATAGAAGAAGGTGCAAGAAATGTAGATGCTTCAAGATTCTGTAAATGTAACAAGTCAGTAAATTGTTCAAATAAACACACAGCAGGTCGAGTCCTGCAGCAATCTACAGCTGATCCTGAATATTCTTGAACGTCTTTAAGATCCAGCTCAACTGGTTTCCAACTGGTGTCGCTAAATATGAGAGCTGAAGCTATATTTCTGCTATATGTCATCCATTCTTGAGTGTAGCTCGTTGCCAAATCAACACTTCTGCTACACTCTGTCTTTTTCAATCTTCCCCCTGAACACTGTGTTTGTGCCTACTAGCACTTTTGACACATGCAGACAAATAACATAGTCAGAGAGAGAAAAAGACATTTCTTACTAAATTACTTTTAAAAAAATAACAAAACCTCAATCAGGCCCAAGCAGGGAGCTTTACACCACAGTATGCCACAAGCCCATCTCCAAACCCATTATTTTCTCAGGATCCGCTGAGTTTGAGTTGGGTGGCTGATGTTACAGCGCAGGGCTGAGAACAACACGCTCATGATTTTACTCAACTGATGCTTTGTGCAGATATTTGTTGAGGCAGCGCACCAAACCGTCAGGAATTTAAAAAATACAACACCATGTGGTTTCAAGGTAGAGCATGAAGAGAAAATAGGACAGAGAGTTTATGGTTTGATCCGCAAGCAGCTAAAGAGGAAAGCAGGTGATGTTTTCAGGGCCAACAGGAACAACTTCAAATGTATTGTTAATACAATGTCGATGCCTTTAGCGAAAGTTTTGAGTTGAATTTCAGCATCAGATTCCATCTGCTTGTAGCACCACTGAGTCTGAGTCCAACTTCTTTAATATAGCTTCACTGACAACAATCTCTGCAGCCATCAGAGGAAAACGGCAGCGGCACCTGCTGACCAGTCACTTCTTGTGATCCCTACATGATGTCTCCTTATTCACATGTAGTTTTTGATGCTTCTACTTGTGGTCTGCTTTAAATTTTATTCTGAAGTGTCTGACAGAGCAGCAGCGTTTGTAGATTATTCATTCCAATCAGAGGGATTTTTCCTCCCTGAGAAGCAAGAATATATTTAGCAAACTAATCACAACCTGCCTGTTATAGATGAGATGGAGATTGCATATTCCATGTAGAAAGGTGAAGCTCTTAACCTGTTGAAAATTAAAAGAGTTCATCTTCTCAGAAGCATGAATATACTCTCTAAAGTTAGCAAATGTGTACAATGCAAGTGGAAATTTGGGGCTGCTGCAAAAAGAACAGTCATTTGACTCTCTTAAAACATTTAGAATCATCCTCTGAGGACCTTGAATATCCGTAGTAAATGTAGTTGTCAAAATACACAGTGTTGCTTTGCTCCAAAGGGTTGATAATTGGACTAAATAGTTACTTTCAGTCCTTGCCTTTGACCTCAGTCATCTCAGTAGCAAAAATGTGACACACTAACCCAATAAAATGCACAAAATGGTCTAAATCTAAAGCAATGTGCTCTTTATGTGCTTTTTTATGTGCGAGCGTGTAATTAAGTTTATAGCTCTGTGCACAAGCAAGCATGCAGGCTTTGCAAAAATATATTTCTTTTAAGCAAAAGTGTTTTTGTTCCACTCCAGTCAGAACAGTAAGTGCCCTGGTATGGTAAACCCTTTGTTTCAAAGAGACTGAAGATGATTAAAGCCTTCAAAACATTCTCTCAAAACAGTGGAATTCAGAAACCCCACAAGAAAGAGCTGTGGATGCACATTAATCACCAGAGAATGTAAGAATGGAAACTTTGATGTGCATCGCTGTGTCTGTTGCATGCAGAGTCTGCCACATCTAGGTCAGCCCGTTACGTTGGAGAGAAGAATGTGTTTTCAAAAAGCAGATCCGGTGTGAAACTTAATGGAAGTGGAAGTTTTTGGGATGATCATCAAGTAGATCCGTCCTGCGTTTATCCCGTCAGGGCTGCTGATGATATGAAGTAGAAGTGAAAAGGCAAATTACAAACGTAATGTCTCTGAGATGTTCGGGTTTTTACTTGTGGTTTGTAGCTGTTGAAGAGAAGTTTCCAGTAGTTCTCTACTAACTGGTTTCCCTTTATGTCCGCTGTAGGAAGCCTGCTGGACTTCTTGAAGGATGGAGAAGGACGGGGGTTGAAGCTGCCTAACCTGGTAGACATGGCAGCACAGGTACGATTAAGGAACTTCATGTTTTAGATACTTTAACCCTCCTAACCCCAAAACACAGCAACAGGTTTGAACAACATGCTAGTGTTAAGAAATCGACAAAATTCTACCATTTATCAAAACCAGAAACTGTAAAAACTAAAAGAAGCATCAGATTTTGAACTTTCCGGCTGTCCAACACTTGTGATCATATCTGACGTGCATTCTCTCAGTAAAATTTAGCACATCCAGGTTAAAAGTGGGTTTTTGTTTTTTGTTTTTTAATTCACTTTTACCAGAAATTGCATGAAGTTCAGCTGAGACATGGTTGCTCCAAAGAGGGCAGAATCTGTTTTGTACAAACAACTTATTTTAGGCAATCACCAAAAAGTAAAAAAAAAAAAAAACAATGTTTTTACAGTTTGCCTCTACAATAAATTGCTGAATTTTGGCCAGTTTTTAAAGATAACCTTGAGGTTAAGAAGGTTAAAAGCTCAAAGTCCCTCATATTCCTGGTAGGTTTTTAATTTGAAACACACGTAGAAAGGGCTGAGCTATTTTCTGTTCATTTGATAATTTACAGAATGTGGAACTGAGTGAACTTCAGCCTCAGCTTCTTCATTAAGAGATCACCTGAGGGCCTGTTCTTTCAGTTCATTTCCATTCGGTTCATAGCAGCTCGTCCTATTTGACCCAAATCTTTTAGCAGGTACTAGGTCATCTGTAATGGGATATCTTTTGAATTAAACTTTCCTAAATGAGATTTTCTGTTTGTCTGCAGGTGAAACTGCACAGATACGTTTGTTAGGGCTGCTTATATAATCAAACTGTGGGCTTTAACTTCTGTCAACTATTGGCATTTGTAGTGCACAAATATTTCCTATAGCTGGCTGGAGGTGTTGTTTTCTTTGCCAGATGATATTTAACAATATTATCATGAAAAAAGCAAATCGCGGTGGAAGCAGAAATAATGTCAGGAGGGTTTTATTCAGCGAGTCTTGATGCGTCTGTGCTGTGCTTCAGGTTGCAGCCGGCATGGCCTACATCGAAAGGATGAACTACATCCACAGAGACCTGCGCTCCGCCAACATCCTGGTGGGAGACAACCTGGTGTGTAAGATCGCCGACTTCGGCCTGGCCAGGCTCATCGAGGACAACGAATACACAGCTCGGCAAGGTGAGGCTTCCAACTCCTCTCCCCCAGCGTGCACACGCCGTTTAAAATGCTCATTCTTATTGCTGCATTAGGTCATGGAGGAAATTCTCTCAGAGGGATGCAAAATTTGCAGCACGCCCACACAGATGACGAGCCTGTGAGGCAGCAATCAGGTCCAAATATTTGCTCAGCGTTACACAAAAACAGGGAGCAGGCACTCCCTGCCCCAGAGAGAGTGACATTTTCTAAGTCTAGAAAGGAGCTTAAATTCAATTCAGTTTTATTTGTATCACACAGTTTACAACACATGTCATCTCACAGCGCTTAACATAGTAAGGTGAAGACCGTACAAATTTAAACAGAGAACCCAACAATCCAAAGTTACCTATGGACTCCCTCTGAGCAAGCGGTCAGCAACGGTGGAAAGGAACCAAAAAAAGCCCAGTGGGAGGGAGGGGGGAAACCTCCGACAGAACCAGGCTCAGGAAAGGCAGCCATCTGCCTCAACTGGTTGGGGTGAGAGTGGGGATGGGAGGGTAGGGATAACAGGACAGCAGATGGAGGGCAAGCAATAGAACAGAACAATAAATATTTCGGGGGTCAGTGAGGCCAGAGGCTGCAGATCAGGCGTGAACTTCCAGATCCAGAGACGTCCACAGAGAGAACAAGCACAGGAGAAACACAGAGTTAGTGATGTGTAATGGTGATGTATGAATGTATGGAGGGGAGAGGACGAGAGGAGATGAGCTCAGTACATCACTGGAATCCCCCGGCAGCCTAAACCTATAGCAGCATAACTAAGGGACAGTTCAAGTGATCCTGAGCAGCCCTAACTATAAGCTTTATCAAAGAGGAAGGTTTTAACCCTAATCTTAAAAGTAGAGAGTGTATCTGCCTCCAGAACCCAAACTGGGAGCTGATTCCACAACAGAGGAGCTGATAGCTGAAGGCTCTGGCTCCCATTCTACTTCTGGAAACTCTGGGAACCACACGTGGACCTGCGGTCAGAGAGCTCTGTTAGGATGATACAGTACAATAAGGTCTTTAAGATAAGATGGAGTTTGGTGATTAAGAGTTTTGTATGTTAGAAGCAGGATTTTAAATTCTGTCCTGGATTTTACTGAGAGCCAATGAAGAGAAGCTAATCCAGGAGAAATATGTTCTGTCTTACTGTTTTTGTCAGCTGCAGCATTTTGGATCAATTGGAGGTTTTTAAGAGAATTCCTGGGACATCCTGATAGTAAGGAATTACAATCGTCCAGTCTAGAAGTTATAAATGCATGGACTAGTTTCTCAGCATCCCTCTGAGACAGGATGTTCTGATTTTTACAATATTAGGTAAATTAAAGTAGCCGTCCTACAAACTCACTTTATCTGTGTATTGAACGACATGTCCTGGTCAAAAATAACTCCAAACTTCTCCAAGGCAATGCCATCTAGAGTAACTATCTGGTTAGATAGGGTGTTTCTGAGGTGTTTCGGGCCAAATACAATAACCTCATTTTTTTCTGGATTTAAATGAAGAAAATGACAGGTCATCCAGGTATCCTTTATGTGCTTTAGACATGCCTGGCGTTTGACCAACTGATTGGTTTCATTTGGCTTTGTACATAAATATAACTAGATGTCATCTGCATAACAATGGAAATTGGTGCAGTGTTTTCTAATAATGTTGCCTAAGGGGAGCATGTACAAGGTAAATAATATTGGTCCTAACACAGAACCCTGTGGAACTCCATAACTAACTCTGTTGCAAGTATAGAAACTAGTCCACTGTCTGAAGCTATAAGATCATTAGTGACCTTCACCAGTGCTGTCTCTGTACTATGATGCATTCTAAATCCTGATTGAAACTCTTCAGACAAACCATTTCTGTGCAGATGATCAAATAATTGGCTTGCAACAGCTTTTTCAAGAATTTTGGAAATAAAAGGGAGGTTGGATATGAGCCTATAGTTTGCTGAAACACCTGGATCTAAAGTAGGCTTTTTGAGTAGTGGTTTTATTATGGCTACTTTGAAAGCCTGCGGTACGTAGCTTGTTAATATAGAGAAGTTGATGATATTTAATACTGCAGTGTTAATTAAAAGAAAGATTTCCTTGAACAGTCGAGTGGGGATGGGGTCTAACAGACATGTTGCTGGTTTAGATAAATTTACTATCGACGTGAGCTATGAGAGATTTACAGCAGAGAAGCAGTCTAAGTATGAATCTGGTCCTGTGGATGCATCTAGAGCTGCTACACCTAAAGACATGTTAATGATTTGTTGTCTAATATTCAAAACTTTATTAGTGAAGAAGGTCATAAAATCCTCACTGCTGAGAGCTAAAGGAACACAAGGCTTCACCAAACTGTGACTCTTTGTCAGCCTGGCTGCAGTGCTGAAAAGAAACCTGGGGTTGTTCTTGTTTTCCTTCATTACAGATGAATAATAGACATTTCTTGTCCTGCGGATTGCTTTCCAGGCTAGATTAAATTCTTCCGAATTCGTAGAGTACCACTGTCTTTCCAGACTTCTGTTTCAAGATGTGTAGCTGTTGACTATACCTTGGAGCTATTCTATTATAATTTATTGTCTTCACCACGGACTCCATCACCACGACAACCTGGAACACAGGTAGAGATTTTGAACCCCTGGGGTGAACCCAATCCTGACAACTATCGCTATGGAAACCAGGGCTACACGGATCCATGGGAAGGCGAGCGAGAGCAGCAGGATACGAACAAGAGGCTGCTGGATCCGGCCAACACGCTGCAGTTCGATGACTTTAGGAAGTGGACGGTGGAATTTTGTGTCATTCCACTGTTGACCACTGAGGAGTGTTTGTAGCCTGATAATCAGTGTGAATCAGCTGTTTTCTGATTGAGAGGGTGATGTGTTTGCTATCCATCCTGTCATTTATATACCGGATTCTTCACTGAAAGTACACGAGTGTCTCCACAGACCTGCCGAGATAGAGATGCTGTGGACAACTGTAGATTGCAAGCTGATTGGTTGATTCAGTTCCTGTCATAACTATGGTTCGCTTTGCGTTGACTTTAGAAATAGAACGGCAATTACATACATATTTATCTTTGAAATAGTAATTTGACAAAAACACTAATGATTCAAGATTTCTTAATTGTTATTTTTTGTGTGCTTGGATACATAAAAAACTAAATACTGCCCTGTACAATGCAAAAAAAAAAAAAAAAAAAAACGATAAATATACCTAAAATCTATGAAAAATACAGCTTACAATAGCTGCACAGTGTAATTGGTATTAAAGTGCATTCTGTCAGTCACAGTGTATTAAAAAGTAGCTTACTGTATTTCGTCCTGATCCCAGAGAGTTGCTCAGTTGTCATGACAGCTGAGATGTGGCTGAAGGCTCCAGAAGACATCATAGTAAGTTGCCCTTGTGGTGGGAACTGTTAGAAAAAGAACTGAGCAGCTGTGCCTTTAGTGTACCACCTTCGTTTGAAATAAATTCAAGCTGTGATTAGCTCACTGGGGAGGAAGCCACCGCTGAGCAATACCAGACTTAACTGAAAAAACTGTCAAATTTAAAAAATAAAATCAACGGTTATATATTTAGAGACAATTATATTCCCATCATATGTTTAATTTTGCATGAACGCAGTTGTAATGTGGCGGCCTTATGGCGTTAATGGAGATGGAGCTGTTGAATCTGATCGTGAACCACAATGTGGCTCCAGCAGGGAACTTTTCTGTTATGTGAATCAGACTTTACTAGATGTGTACAGAAGTACCCAACTCAGGGAAGCTTCAGACACAAATCTGAGTGACATTAACTGTCTGAACCGAAGCAGTTTCTGGGTATTTGTTTTTTGCTCCTGTCTCATTTTTACTCACTGTGGGCTCATTTTTCACTGCAGTATAAAGTCCTGCACCTCTATGGAAAAAGCTCAACTATGGCTAGAAGCAGAGAGAATTCAAAAATGTCGTTCTAATGCCATAAATCTTTAGGGGGGGAAAAAAACAGGAAATTAAAGTTGCATTAATTTGTTTATTTACTTGACAAAAGTTTTTTTTTTTAAGTGGAGTCAACAAGTACAATATTTTTCCAAGTGCCCATAGGTGTTACCAACACTGGAACAAATGGTGGCTGTACCTCCTATAGATCTGTTATTACTTACTTTACTAATTTGTTTTCATATGTACCTCCTATCAGCTCTGTGTAAACACAGCCTGCAGTTCAGCTGAAAAAGTCCCAGAATTTCCGTCATGTTCGATGCAGTGGATTTCCTAATGGCTTCCTGTTTGCGTGAAGGACAGCAGAACATTTAGTTTTTTACAGGATCTTTTTGCACCAAATGGTTTCTTTTTAAATGAGACATATAGAGTAAAGTGATTTTGATTAAATATCATAATCAGAGCTTAGTTTTGGTTACGTTGTTTTGACAGAATGATGTCATAGATGATTAGATCAAGAACCATCAGAAAATTCAAAATCCGGGGATTGTTTTTACAGCTTCTGACTCTGATGAATTATGTCCTTTTGGTGACTTATAAAGTTAGCATGTCTTTCAGAGGGTTAAGTTAAATATTAATAATGAAACTGTCCAGTTTAGTGTAAATGTCGTCATCTCCCTGCTGGTCAGTTTGAGCTCATAACAGCTGTTCCTGTTAATACAGTTTGTCTTTCCTTAGCAAATGCTGTCATCAGTATTGGGATTTCCCCCCCCCCCATTTACAGATGAAATCATTTTTGCTTTGCCATATGTTGTTGGATCTCTGCTAGTTGTTTCTCTTGACTTTAAAAAGTCAGACGTCTTGTAAAGCTGACAGATGCTGTGACGTGACTTCACTTTGTTGTTATGTCTGTACATGTGGTTAACCTCTTGAACTCTTACTTCCTGCTCTACCTTACATTATGTAGTTTAGTTTAGACTCTCACATATGTGCTCTGTGACCCACCAGCGTGTCACATAGAACTGAGGAGGACATTACATTACTTTTGTGTTTTTCACTTCTCGCTGTTAACTGCAGCGTTGGTCGCACCTGTACCTTTCACTGACTTTAAATTTAAAAAAGAGAGAAAGAGCACCATGTAGAGCCACGGGTATGGTCATCAGACTGCACTGTGTAATGGAGAAATACGTAATTAATCTATAATAGGATTTATAATAAGACATGACAAGAGATAATACATGTCTGCTCTATGAATTAAATCATACATTAAAACATACTTAAAAAATACAAGTACTTTGTATCCAGAATGTCATATTTCAGAATAGTGTATATTTTTGGGTTATAATTACTGATGCATTACTACACAGGTGTATTTCTTCGGCCTGCTGATATAAAGGAAAATAGACCAAATTTTAAGTTTACCGACTATAAATATGTCAGAATTTTGAGCAATGACACTAAAGTTTGCTTTCATATTTTCTTGATTAATGTATTTAAATGAATTGTGTGTCTCAGCTCAGATTTCAAGCCTATTAGTAGAAAATTGTATGTAATGTTTTATGTTAATAATGTTGAATTTGTGCAAAATGAAATTCAATTTGATATTTCTTCTCATTACAGTAATGCTTACAAATATTTTTGCAGTTGTTGCTTCACATCGTCTTTATTCTTACTTTTAATTTTCTGTGTGTCAGGTCAAAGAGCTAACCAATTAATCGATTCCAGTTTGAATCAATGCAATTAGCAAATCGCAAAGGCTGCAATTTCAGATCTACATTATGCAGCATGTTGTGTCAATAGTTTTACAAATTCATGCCATTCTCCTTGTGTGACTTTATATCTATTCACTGCTAATTTTGAAGTAAAGCTTCACTTAAGAAAATCAGAAAAATCTCAATCAGAAATTTTCCACAAGTGGTTCAGCCTTAACAGGTTATAGGAGAGTGAATTAAGCTGGGTTGTGCAGTTGTTGGTGTTTAAAAAAAAATAAGAAGTGATTTATTTTATATATGATATAAGGGGAAAAAAATGGCTCTATGATATACGTTTAACTGTATCACCTCCTATGATGAGTGAGCTGATGTGTGAAGCAGGAGGAGAAGCTGCAAATCTAACAGAGACAGGCAGAGAAAATCAACTTTCCACATGAAAGGGAAGGCAGCGTTTCAGGTTATGTGTGAATTAACCTGCAGATGCACAGGCGCTCTGTTCATTAATGCTAACGTCGTCTCACTGATCTCCTCCCCAGGTGCAAAGTTCCCCATCAAGTGGACCGCCCCAGAGGCCGCGCTGTACGGCAAGTTCACCATCAAGTCGGACGTGTGGTCGTTTGGCATCTTGCTGACGGAGCTGGTCACCAAGGGTCGGGTGCCTTACCCAGGTGAGGAGGCGTTCACCTTGAGCCGCTCGATAAGGTGGCCTGATAAGGAGAATCTCACCTCGTAGGAAACACTGAGCTGTTACCAAAGCACACACGGGTTTTTCTTTTTTTTTTCTCTATGACAACAGGCGGCCCCTGCTGCTGTTTGTGGGAGTAAAAGGTTCCTTTTCGCTTGGGTAACCTTCGTTTTTCCCTGCCAGAATGTGAGATAACCCTTAATTACCGCCGCTGGCCTGTGGGACAAGTTAAATTTCAAACAGAAACAAAAAGGAAAGAGAATGGGAGAGGCCGTCCTGGGGTGTGTGTTGAGTGTGGCTCCATTTGCAGGGAGGGAAAACACATGTTCGACCAGATGGTGCTGGTGGGTCGCTGGTGCTGCAGGGAGAAGGTGAGGGAGGTTAAAGCACACAGAGAGCCAAGGGAGCAGCAGCATGTGAGCAGCTAGCCGCTAAGATAGAATAACAGAATGATTGGGCAGATATTTTGATCATTATTAATCAGCTTGAGTCACTTACTAAAGAAAAATAAAGTTAATTATAGATTCGTCTGTAAGTGTGAATCTTTGCAGCTGTATTTGCTGTGCAATCAAAGCAGTTAGTAAATATACATCAGAAGATGCAAACAGTTAATGAAGTTACCTCTTGTGCCACTAGAGTAAATTGTGCAAAGCCCCTCCCTCAATTTAGATCAAGCAGATCAGGCTGCTGTGTGTTGCTGTTTAATACAGTCAATGAGAAGGAGGCCACATTTACTTATTCAGTGCACAACAGAGTTCTGTTAGAGCATGAACTGGTGGGTTTTATCCCAGTTTAACCTCTGAATATGACTCATAAGCGCCAACTTCTGCTCCTTGATGATCTAGAGGTTTCGTTTTAGACACAAACAACAAGCCAGCGAGCGTATTTACATCCTAGCTGCTCGTCTTAATTAAAGGCTTCTGAAGCGGCCGGCACCTCTGGGAGTTCAGGGCCCACAGTCGGTTCATGCTGAAGGTCATCGAGGCTAAATCAAAGCGTTTGGTCTCCGTGGATTTGTCGTATCGATCCGTTTGAGAGCTCCTGGGTGCTTTTACTCACCTTCAGCGTTTGTTTGATTTTTTTATTCAGGCATGAACAACCGCGAGGTGCTGGAGCAGGTGGAGCGGGGCTACCGGATGCCGTGCCCCCAGGACTGCCCCATCTCGCTGCATGAGCTGATGCTGCAGTGCTGGAAGAAGGACGCCGAGGAGCGGCCCACCTTCGAGTACCTGCAGGCCTTCTTGGAGGACTACTTCACAGCCACCGAGCCTCAGTACCAGCCCGGGGACAACCTCTAAACTGGCCTCCCTCCTCTCTCTCTCTCTCTGTCTCTCTCTCTCTCTCTCTCTCCCTCTCTCTCACTCTCACTCTCTCTCTCTCTCTCTATCTCCGGGACTCGGGGTCGGCTCGGGGCTGGGGGCAGGACTGGCCCGAGCGGTTCTGTTTTAAAAAAAAAATAAAGACTCTGGAGCCTTCCCAGCCAGGCCTTTTTATTTTAGGGATCTGTACAGCTTCCTCAGCTCAACTCCAGCGTTTCAGTTCCAACTCCTAAAAACACAACCCTCAGTCTCAGAGGCGCCCCCTGGAGTCTGAACTCTGCAAGTGCGATAATTAGGGAAGTTGATGGACGGAGTTAACTGGGGTCGCGCTAATGCAATGAAATACCTGTGTTCAATGTAAATAAGAAAAGCTTGTTTTAGTTTGTCTGCTTCCGTTCGAGATTTTTATTTTCTCCTGCACAAAAATAATAATAATGATAAAAACGATAGAGGCAAAGGAAGACGAGCACCTGAGCAGGCACACTTAATCTGTATTATACTGTAGCTCCTCTATTATTTTCTAGAGATTGAATTGGAAGCCTCGATATATTTTTTTTTTCTCATTTCCCATAATGTCTCAGAGAATTCACCCCCAGAACATTGCTTTATTCTTGACTTTTTTATATGTAGTATTGCAGAGGCTTCTTCAGACGTGCATGACGCAGTTTTCCATCAGCTTTTTTTCTTTTCTTGCCTCCCCACCACCCTAAAAGCTTCCTCAGAGCGCTAGTTGTTAAGCTACTGCTGGTTCTTTTACAAACGATATGTCACATTTTTGTAAATCACAGCTGAGCGTGTAAGGATTTTTGAACATATCCCTCCTCGCTTATTTGAGAAGATTTGGGTGGAAATATTTCTGTCTTTCTACCACAAAGTGTTGTTTTTTTTTTTTTTTGTTTCGCTTGAAGAAGAGGAAAGAGTTAATTTAAGAAGTTTGTCTTTGTTTGAGCTGCCATTGCGAGGTCTCGCCTCGTCGTTGAGAATCTTTTTCTTTCGGAGGGAAGTCGACGCAAACCGTGGCTTTTCACCTCATCTCCTGCACGCCCTCCACTCGAGCCTGCGGTGGCGGCGGCCTGCAGCTGAACCTGGACCACCTTACCTCCTCAGTTACTTCTGCTTTTATGTTTTACTGACACAGTTATATTCAGTATTGAGTCTTTGGTTTTTACAGAGTATGTTTTTATTCAACCCTTTTAAGTGATCCTTTAAGAGTCAGTCGTACTGTACATTCAGGAGAGCTCTGGGACCAATTCAGGTGACAATAAGAAGAAGGTCTGAAGATGAACTGAACCCAGCCCTGACCTGGTCTTAATGCAGATGGTTTCATGGCCAATGGAAACCCCTTCATTTTTCAGTTGTACAGCTCAATGGTTTTTAAGTGTCGCTAACTTCCCTCCTTTGTATCTTTTCATTTCCATTTTTTAACATAACTTGTTTTGTTAATTCAGTGATTTGGCGTTTGGAATTCAGAAAAGACCAATAAACATTTTACACTCTTTCCAAGACGCTTATTTTAAACATGACAGTGTTTGTGTGATTTAACTGTGACATGCTGTTGGATGTTTTCGAAGGTTTAGGTCTCATCTGGAACTGACATCATTCAGTCTTGTCTCGGTCTCATATACGTATAAATGATGTATGTTGCGAATGTGACTGGGTGGAGCGCTGCTGTTTTGAAGCCTGCAGTTTGGAAGTTGGCTGTATCCGTCTTGTTTTTTGTAATTGGATGTAAAAATGTTAGCAGGCTGTCGGTCACAAGGTAGCAACATTACACAAAGTTTTCCCTTCCATTTTAAAATTCTCTCTGTTACAAGAAACAACAACAATGTCCAACTAGCAAACGGAAGACTGGAAATGTCAAGTGTTGTTGAAGATTTGGATCTTGCATCTCCAGCTGAGACTAGCCACATCATAAACCTAACCTGATGTATCATTCATTTTACTCTAAATGGGAGCATGATTTGCAACACAAACATCATGTTGTGTTTAAAGAGAGTTAAAACTAAAAATTGAGACCATAAACTCATTTGGAAAATGGTTAGTGAGGTAATATATCAAGACAGAAGTTGGGTCATTTTGTCATGTAGCCAGAGGAGTCACCCCCTGCTGGCTGTTAGAAGGAATACAGGTTTAAATGACTTCCACATCGGCTTTACTTATTAAACCGGAAGGCTACATCCATCATTTATATGCAGTCTATGATGTGGCTGGAGTCTTGTTAAGCTCTCTGTATCTCTATGAGTACATAAAATTGACTATTTAGGATTTATAAACACACGTTTGGCTATTGTTTATGAATTTCATCTGTTAGAGTCGCCATGTGTAACTTCTGGAGATTTGTTTTACCAAGTCTGCTGCACTTAAGAGAAAAAAAGGCCTTTTGTTTATACTGCGGATTGATTAAGCAGCTGGAGAGATGCAACTGGGTCCCATCTGACCTCCCACCAAAAGTTTTCTGTGCTCCATCATGTCATTGTTGCGAGATTTTGACATGGGGCACAGAGTTGGCTACACTGACAATGCTAGAAGTACCTGGTAGTGGTGCAACATCTAATGAAACAGCATTTAGAATACAAAGAAATACCTAGAAATAATAATACTAAAATGTGTTGAACGTGGACCTTTAGGTGGTGCTTGGGGATCTGGGACACTTTACCCTGTTATGAATTCTTCTTTAGCAACATCGTTTGCCAGAAATATTCAGATGAAGTGAATATTTAAAGTTACACTTTTGGTCATTGCGTTAACAGATTTGAACCTATAACACCATTAGGTCCAGTAATGTTGTTTCCTTGCATTGGTACTTACAGTTTACATATTTGCCAATTTTCAGTTTTAGCTTGTGAACCAACATCTTTTAGTGACTTATTGCTCTTGAAACCCTTCTTTCATTCATGCAGCTTTGTTTTTAATTGCAGCTGGCTGTTGGAAAAAGAAACGCAAACGTGTGTCCTGAGGCGAGAATTGATTCTCAGATCAATGAAGTGGTGACTGGTTTGCCAGACGCACAGCTTTTAACTGATGGGTTTTCTTTCAAAACACAGAGCAAACAGTCTGTGACAACAATTGTTACCATTATGACTCCATTTGCTCACTGTAAAGACATGCGTTCTTTCATGGTTTAGTCTGTTTGTGTGCTGTCGGCATGAACTGCTTAGGAACATTCCCACCACGTTGCCAAATGGTGTGACTCCCTCCTCCTGTAGCTTTATAGCAGTACTAGCTGGAGCTGTCTCACCCACCCCTCCATCATTATCAATAGCCTCATCTTTGTGGAGCCATAAGCAGCTGGGATGCACCTGTGTGGAAGAACTACCCTCTTTATGGCACCTTTATAGCTTCAAGGAACACAGCACAGAGGTCCTACAGAGACCAGGTACGTCTGATTTAATCCATTTTAATATTTAGGACCGCTACATCCACCTAGATGAAGATAATCAGCTTGTGTCAGACTCTCGGTTATGCACTCTGACAGGTAAAAAGAAAGAAGAAAGCAAGATCAAGACAACAGTGGATCTTTATATCCTGTTATTTTGCACCACAGGACTACAATTTACCAAGCAGGGAAAGACTGAAAAAGTACTACAACTTGAGAAACCCTCCACTGCTTCCTTCTCTTCAGTGACGCCCAGGTGAGACCCACCCAAAGCAGACGGATCAGCTTCCATCCAGCGTTTATTGTGAGTCACCCGCCGAGTGGCCCATGTTGGAGCCAAATCACCTTTTTTTTTTTTTTTTTTTAGTTACGTAATCTCTGCCAACAGGTTCAAACATTGTTGAAAAACAGTTTTAGAATGCACTCATCACCTTATAATGACGAGTGCAACAGCTGGGAAACTTCAACTTTCATAACTTGATGTTCGTGATGGTGACTCTGTCGCCTAAATATCTTCAGCGAGTCAAATCATGTCATAAAACGCACTTCACTTCAGTGAAGCCTCTCACCACTGTTTGTCTACTGTACCTCCAATTGCTTTATTGCAGGTATTAGCATGTAAGAGGTGAATGAATTATGGAGGGCATAACCGTCTTTGTCATCGTACAGAAGATATACTACCCCTTCCTCTGCATCATGGGTATCCCAGGTTGGTATTGCCTTTGGTATTTGGCTTAGGTTGTATAATTTTCATCAGGGACAGACAAGGTAAAAGATTACACGTTAATAATGGGTTTTTGATGTTAATAAATCACTTTTAGATTGCTTTGTCTGCTTTAATAGCAACCAGACAGGGAAACTCTCTGACCTACTGCACTCAATAGACCTATAACCATCTATTAACGACTCACTAACATAACTGCAGGCCAATAGTCACAGTGTTACAAGGTCAATAAGGGAATAAAGTCTTACAATTTAGAAAAACAAACACACCCTCAGATGAAATAATAATATCTGTGCCTCTCAGGCAGTGATAGCAATGTGCTTAGCCTTGCTAAGCTCAAAAAACTGTTGGCCCAGCTGAGCAAATAGTGGAGAAGTACACTTAAAAACACTTGAACTATTATTCTTGAGTCGTTTACTTATGATTTTCCTTCACTGTTTAAAATGTAGTTCCCAAAACGTCTTGGTGAGGTTTGAGTTTGGGTTGAAATACAACCTTTTCACAACATGTTTGATTCTTCTCCTCCACTTTGTGATTTGTCATGTGATTGGTTTGCTTAAAAATGTATGACAGCAAAAAAAAAATTAAAAACATATATCAATACATTGAGTTGAAACATATGTGGGATACATCACAAACAAATGTAATCCAGCTGAAAAATCACATTTCCCTGTAATGGGTCATTGAGATTGCACATCATCTGTGTAGGGATGTAATTTTTGGTTTAAGCTCTTTGTGGACTCTGACAAATGAATGAGTTTTGTTTGTTCCTGTCTTTCCTTTCAGCAAACCTCTTCACATTCTACATGATCTGTTTCCGTAAATGTGGGATGTCCAGCACAGCCATCGTTTACCTGAGCTGTCTGGCCATCGTGGACACCTTCTACCTGCTGTGGGTTATCCTCATCGACCTCACTCTCACTTTCTGGATGCTACAGCCCTTCTGGCACTCCCACCCCTGGTGTGGCATTCTTGGATTTCTGCAGTATGGAACTCTCTACAGCTCCTCTTGGATTGTGGTGGTGTTCACCATTGAGCGTTACCTCGTCCTCCGCAGCACAGCCGCCAAACAGCACTTCTCCCAGGCCTGGGTCACCAAACTAACCTGCACGGCTATTGTGCTGGTGTCCCACATGGTTTCTGTGCCTCTGGCTTGGATCAACGTTGTCACACCTGTGAACTACACCGTGGACGGCGTGAACGTGACGCTGCCCAGGTGTCGATATCGTGATGAGACCTACTCCACAGTTATAGTGTGGGTAACCACATTCCTCTCTGGAGGAATCCCCATCGTGTTGGTTGTCATCTTCAACTCCCTCATCAGCTACCATCTGTGCCGCGCCAGCAACCTCTTCACCAAGGAAGAGCGGCGCATCATGCATGGGAAGAGCACCAGGGGCATGTTGAGGAGGACTGTTCTGCTGCTGGGCACTGTCTCAGTGACTTTTGTTGTTCTCAGCCTGCCTCGCTTTATCACATACTGCATCCTGAGGACCCAGTACAACGATGAGAGCTTCAACAGGAACGACTACAGCATTCCCATCAATGTGGCTGGAGACTTAGCCAACATGCTGCAAAACTTAAACTCCACCACCAACTTCCTGCTCTACTGCATTGTCAGCCGGTGCTTTCGACGGGAGCTGGTCCAGGTGTTGACTTGCAAGTCGACGGCCCGCGAGGTGGGCTCCGTCCTCACCCAGACTACCATGAAAGTCTTCTCAGTAGCTGATCATAAGACTTCACCATCCAGCTATCGTGGAAGTGTGGTGCTAATCAATCTCAAACAGACAGAGTAGAAACAAACTCCAAGAGCAGGCAATGTCCACTCTCTCAAAATGTGCCTTTAACCATGGAAGTTCATTCTTGATCTTAGAAGTAGCAGCTTCACAAAACAGCCTTGTTTCAAGGTCCACCTACCCACTTCTTGTAGAGCGTTAACCCCAACAAACTCAACAACCATGCTAATGTTGTGGCCTCTGGTCCACTACTTGGTTCTGACTAAAATATCTCAACAGCTGTTTGATTGATTGCCATGGCAGTTTGTACAGATATCCTTAATCCCCACAGGATGAGTACTGAGGACTTTGGTGATTCCCTGTCTTTTAATTTAGCACCACCAGCTGGCCAAACTTTACACTAAAGTAACATTTTGGACAAACATTCTTTTTCAAATTACGTATCCTGATAACTATGGTGACTCTAAGTTCTATTTAAACCATTATGAGGATCACAGAAACACAGAGAAAATGCCATATGGATTTTTATTTATTTTTTTTGTCATTTTCACAACATGGGGTCTTTAAGAAAGGCTGGATACTGGATTATGTGATGGCGCATTACTGGCACATGTTAACAACCTCAAAAAAAAAAAACTTGATTTCACTGGAAGCAGCTTTAATTGTAATAACTGGGGGACCCCTTGCAATCATCATGCTAGCATTTTAATTTCTCCAGCACTTTTGTTTATGACCAGATGCAAGCAAAACTAAACTCTAGTTGCTATTTTTGTGTTGTGCTAGTTCGCAAAGGTTAATATAATAGCACACTAATTTGTAAATTTTATATGCCTAAACATCTGCATGTGGTTATTGCTATTGTGGTAATGTTATGCATGCTGGTGTTAGCAAGTAAAGCAAGTGCCTTAAACCTGTATTCTTTCTAACCACCAGCAGGGGGTGATTTCTGTGGTTGTAAAAACTTCAATTGTATAGAAGTCTATGAAAAAGTGACTCTACTTTTCCCTAGATTTGTTGCTTCAGTTCCCATGTTCGTAATGAGTTCATGGTCTCAATCACTAGTTTTAAGTCTCTTTCAATACAGCATGGTGTTTATTCAGTAAATTATCGCTCCATTTAGAGTAAAATAGGCAATAAAGCAGGGTATGTTTTATTGCGGGCTGCAAGGTGGCGCAGTTGGTAGCACTGTTGCCTCGCAGCAAGAAGGTTGCCGGTTTGCGTCCCGGTGGGGGCACCGGGATCTTTCTGCGTGGAGTTTGCATGTTCTCCCCATGCAGCGTGGGTTCTCTCCGGGTTCTCCGGCTTCCTCCCACACAGTCCAAAAACATGTGGAGGTTAATTGGTGATTCTAAATTGTCCGTAGGTGTGAATGTGAGTGTGCTTGGTTGTCTGTCTCTAAGTATGGCCCTGCGATGGACTGGCTACCTGTCCAGGGTGTCCCCTGCCTTCACCCTAAGTCAGCTGGAATAGGCTCCAGCCCCACCGCGACCCTTGTGAGGATTAAGCGATGTACAGATAATGGATGGATGGATGTTTTATTGCGGAGCTACCTTGTGATTGACAGGTTGCTATTGTAGAGTCTTGCAGAGTGTCCTCTACATTATGTCTAGTTTTAAAATACCAAAAGGCTCCATGGTAAACTTAAGGTTTCAAATTGGTAGCTCAGAAACCAGTGGGTGAAGTCAGGGGGATGGTGTCCATCTTCTATATACAGTTTATGCTGTATACAGCTTCCAGCATAGATCTGTCAATATAGTTCATAAAAGCCTTTGAGAGTTACTCTGTTGTGTGTAATTATGGAGTTATGCAGATCACGTGTAGCTGTGAAACAACATGTAAACCTGTTGTATGATCTTGAAAATGTTTCACTTTTCATCCAAAACTCTCCCTGAAACACTGTTTGTAATGGAACTCATACAAACTGTATGTTATTTTCTTGTACAGTTCAAGTGACGCATGTACCTTCTGACTGATTTTAATGTGTTGTTTTCCAAAAAGTGTGATTAAAAAAGTGAAACCTGACGCCTTTCCAATCAAACAAACAGTTAAACCTTACCTGACTGCAGTGTACCTGCCCAGCTGCAGAAGCAACCTGATTGGCAGTCCCGGAGTCAGTGCCCTGCGCTATTTGCATAAACGGGTCACGAGGCTTTCAAGCTTTGCATAAGACAGCAAGGAACAAGCAGCAGGAATGTTTCCTGTTTGTGCCAGAACAGGTTTGTGCTGTGGCTGGGGAGTGAGCAGTTTTAAGTGACGGTAGGTGTGGAGGCAGAGTCTTGTTTGGATTTGTTTTCTATGTGTGGATTTGTAGGTAAAACGCACTGAAAACTTTTGAAAAAGCTTGTCTTTTGTTGTTTAACATAGATTTAGATCAGTGTTTCTGACCTTTGTACTAGTTTGCCAAGATCGTGTTACATTCCACCCCACCTGTAAAGGCTCATCTACTTTTTCAAACTATTCAGTGAGAAAGATTAAAGAATGTGTAAATACTAATCCTGAAAATCATGTTCATTCTGATACTTTTCCATCTGTGATTTACTTTCTGCATTTTCAGCAGTAGTGACAGTTTTTATTTCTTAATCTTGGCTTTGAAACTCTGGTTCTTTTCATGCTGCGTGTTCTTTCGTGTATGTCTCTTTAAGGTGTCATGCTCTATTAAATTCCTCTAACATTGTTTTCATTTTCACTCCACCAGAGGCCACAGACGCTTCCTTGGTGACAAAATGGACTCTTTTAAAGGTAAGAAAACTAAACCTTTGTCAAATTCTAATCCATCATAATCACTCCCGATGAAACTCAAACCTGTTTTTCTTTCCGCTGTCGCTGACAGGACCTTGCCCTCATCAAAGTATTCCTGTTGAAATGGATGAGAGGATGACGTCCTCCAATCTGGACTTGGCCTGGCCTCCCCCTTGCACACAGTGTAGTGGACTTACAGAGACCACCAAAAGGCCAGAGGACCACAATTATGAACTTCCTCAGGGGGCAGCGTACGGTGCTGAACTCCCTGACAGCCACTACCAGCCTGAACCCAGATCAGCCCATCGTGCTGCTGTGGATCTTTACTTCATGCCCCCAGCACCAGCACCACTCTCAGGACATATGAACCCCTTCCACCCTGGAAAAGCAAGGTCTCATGGTCTCAGAGAGCAGGTGCTGCTGTACGAACCGGACCATGTGGTTGACAACAGTAGAAACCCCGCCAGCCCTTCAAGCTGGCACTCGGGTCGCTCTTTTGAGGAAGCAGAACCCCTGGAGCCTCCTCTCCCGCTCAAATCAGACTCCTACTATCACAATCCATCACAATACCCAGCAGCACATATGACCGGTTAGTATAAGAGTTGAATATCAATGGAAACATGCCTTTGTCAGGGTCATCATGGAACGTTTACTCAAGTAGTGTATTTAAGTTGGATTTTGAGGTGTACTTTACAAAATCATTTCATTTTCTTCCACTTCACACCTCTGCTGCACTGTACTTTTTGCTTTATTGCTTTAATTTGACAGTTTCTTGACTCTTTACAGATCAAGAATTTACAAAAAGATATCGCAGAAATTCGTAAAATACAACACGTTATTAAAGAAATAAGCTGTAACATTTAGTTTGAAAGGTCGTTTTAGTAACTGTGCGACACTCACAGAGGTAAATTATCCAATATTTCACAAAAACAGAATTTTCTTTCCCTTTTTTTGTCCTTACATGAATCAAGTGGAGTTATAGGCTGGAAACCACTGGGCTGAACAACTTCAGTGTATCTGAAGTGGTCAAATTTAGGTGCACCGTAAGCAGCTGCAACAGTAAAGTCATGCTTACATGCTGACATGTCAGTGTCTACAACCTAATATGTCAGACAGAATGAGATACATGTGATGGGACAATTTACTGCACTGAAGAGTTTGATAGGAATACTTGAAGTATTTTGTATGAGCAGACTGCTTTTACTTTATTAAAGGCTCTCAAAGTCTGATACTGAAACATATGACAGATTATTAGAGCTTTATTTCTAAGTGCTTCATTAGAAGGAAACTGGACTTCTCTCTTTGGTTCTTGAGGAAGTTTAACCTTTTCTTTAAGAGGCCTCTTTGGTTCTTACTTCAATTGTGAGGACATATTGCCAAAACTTAGGAGGTATGAATGGTTGTGAAACTGCCAGCTGGTGGATGACTCAAGGCAGCAATGATGGTGAAACTATCCGGGGACGGATTTCAGGGCTGCATTACCTGACAAGAGGTGTCATAGACGCCCACCTCTGTTTAGAGATGGATGTTTCGGTTCAACATAGACGGCTTCCTTAACTCCTCTCACAAACTATCTGTCTTCTATGTCCACAATGTGTACTTTGCTGTCCTCAAAGGAGCCTTTAGTCCTTTAGATGAAGGTATACTGCTCTGTCTTGTCCTGATAAGATGGTTCTCTTATATTGTGCCATTCACTGTTGGAGCTGTTGTTTCGTCTCGACCTGTATATAGCTATACACTTAGAACATTGCTCAGTTTGTGTTTGGCTGTTATTCTATCCTTAGGGGGAACCGTTTTTGTCTGGAAGTGCACCTGGATGCTTTGTTTGGAGAAAATCCATCAAAATCTTCTTCTTTTCTTCCCTGTTTGATGTTGTGCTGGTTTTTCACAGATCTTTGTGCATACTTCATGAAGGTCCACTTTGTATAGCCACCAGTTTTAGCATGTGCTCCTTCTCCTTTCTCTCCGTGTTGGTGAAGATATTCTCAGCCTGGTGCTTTCAGGTTTTGGTAGCTTCCACCTTATATTCCAGCAGGTGGTGGGTGTCAGACAGCTGACATCAGTCTGTGTGTTTCGGTTTCTGGTAAACTTACTGTACATGTTAAAGGCTTCCGCCTTCTTCAGTGTGCACAGAACAGTCCAATGAGGGATGTTAATATGTTCTTTAAATGCTTCTACTTGTTGGACTTTGATTCTGACCCCAGTGTCATCCACGTACCTGTAGCAGCAGCTGGGATTTGTTTCCTTGAAAGAGCTCAGTGCTCTGATTTTCACTTCCTCCATGTAGAGATTATTGTGACCTGGATGATTGAGAATGTACACAGACATAGATTACAGTTGTTGTTTTGAAACACAGTGTTGATCAGTAGGTGGTAATAATGATAAGAGCAGATTTAAAGGGTCACTTTACCCAAATGACTAAAGCATATAGTATATTTGATATGATGCTATTATCTTCCATTGAGACGTGTGTGTTTGGTGGGTGACATTGTCTTCATAGTCTATTTGCTTTGTGTCAGTCTCAGTGGAAACTGCCATAACTAGCGTCATTACTACTGTGCTATGATTGCTTACTTTGTAAGTATAATATTGAAACTATTATTGCCTGCATGCAGCAACAGTCTATAAATATCATCAATTAGTCTTCAGAAAGCTAAATGTGCTAAGACAAAAGTAGGACAAAAACCTGATTCTTTACAGATCCAGTAATCACAACATCTGTGATAAATTAAGTCTAGAAAGTTGCCTCCCCAACACTGTTCGCTGTCATTTGGCTGCTGCTCATTGTGTTTCTGTCAAATCTGCTTCTCATGACTGCTGAATTGGAAACCATCCAAAATGAGAAATTTACATCTGCTCCTCCATATCTCTCTGCAGGCCGTCGACCAGTGGGGAACTACCAGAGACAGTGTCCCTGCTGCCCTCCAGCAAATCAGCTCCATCCCAATAACAACCGCCGTCATTACAATCCCTGTCATTACCCTGCGGGTCCAGCCCAGGAGCCTCAACCCCACCAACAACTGTTTGTCATTATGACCTAATATGTTCAGCATCACTTCATATCATACTTTACACATGTGTCACGAGCAAGTCTCTGATTGATTCTTGTTGTTTGACTGCACAGTAATCCCCAACATAGAAATGTCCCCCGTGGATCCGTGCCTCAGTTTGCAGCGCCTCCTAGAGACGTGATGCTGGAGGTCAGCGTGGACCCATCCCATCCAACAGGTCCAAGAGCAGCCACGAGGGAGGTCAGGAAGACCATCAGCCTGCCTGAGGAGTGCAGTAAGTCACATCTCTGAATAAACCAATAGTGTGGCTGCACTTTCAGGACCGTACTCTTAGGACCCTTCATTTTGAGACGGTGCCACCTACTGCAATGGATGATAGTCAAACTGCACAACAGTGAGCTTCGCTAGTTGTAAATTCCGAAACTCATACGATGACATTGAAATAATTATTCAACCTCAGGTCAGTTGAGTTTCTTGGCTGAACAAACTGAAAGTGATTCACTACACTTTATGCTTTTATTCTATAATATTTTAAATGCAGGACATTTGGATTGTGATATGGTGTTTTATAGTGAGTTATTAGTATTTTTACTTTACTTTACTTTTTAAAACTTGTACAGGTGATTATTCACAATGAGACAACTTTTTTTTTGTATTACAAGCTTAAAGTAACTTCAAATATGCACGAGGTATTGTGTATCTAAAGCTCTTTAATTTATATCTGACCATTGGATAAATCCAGCTTCAAAACGTTTGTTTAATTTTGTTGATATGTCAGAGCCAAAGGTCTCACAGGTGGAGGGAATTCTCCATTAATTACACCTGAAATACTATTTGTAATTTTAATGGTTTGTTCAGGGAGTATTCCAGACAAACCGTAGCTACACTAATACTTTGAAAGGTTATTCTGCTCAAGATACTACTTGTAGTTTTAAAGGTTTGTTGTAGCAAAACAGTACTTTATAACAAGTAATAGATTTAAAATCTTTATTAAAGACAAAATATGACTTTGTGTCCAAGTGTTTACAATTTTACATATTTATTTCACCCCCAAAAAAAGAGTTGCATTTGGACAAATTGTATGTTAATGTACTCGTCACCGAATGACAGGTTGAAACATAGTTTGTGTCTCCTGCCACGGCAGGTTAAAGAGAGTTGTACTTTGCAGCTGAAGACATCAGCATTATTTTAATGGTAAACAAATATGATTGGATTCATGTTCAATACCCAAACTATGACTATTGTTTATCTTGGCCAGTAATTTGGTCTTGGTGACTCATCCAAAACAACTGGCCCTAGAAGTGAGGTCCTACAACTGCTGGTCCTGAAAACACAGCCATATGCATGTAAAGTTTTTCCCTTGGTTAAGGATGTTTTATGACTTTTCGTTGACAGGAAATGTCTTCATCACATACTCGATGGACACAGCTGAAGATATATTGATTTTCGTCAATTTTCTGATCTCTCAGGGTTTCAATCCAGCAGTAAGTGTTGTCATGTCTGCATCATTAACAGAGAAGTTTGATGCAAACACTCACACTCTGTCTGTGTTTCTGTAGATTGACATGTTTGAAAGTCCCATCCAACGACTGGGCATCACCAAATGGATGGACAGCTTTCTGAATGATGTAAGTCTGACTGCTGAGCAATTTGCAGTGTAGTCTGTTGAACAAAGCTTGACAGCTGGATGTAACTTGACAGAAATCGGTGCTCATCATCGTGGTCATCAGCCCCAAGTACAAGAAGGACGTGGAGGAAGTTGGATGCGACGAGCACGGTCTGCACACCAAGTACATCCACAACCAGGTGAGTGTGCTGGCAGGAATATTTGCTTGCAATGTTGCCCTCTTGTGGCTTGTATCGATCACTGAACTGCCTCCTCCCATGTGTCAGCGGGGACAGGGGAATGAGGAAATGGCTCCAGGGGACTTGAAAACAGGGCAATTTATTTCTGAGTCCTGCTCAGGTTCCCCACAGTCACAGTCCCACAGTGTTAGTGTGTCAAAGCTGCTGAAGCAGCTCAATGATGTTTAGTTCAGTCAAGGCCTTGTATTTATTGTCAAAGACTACATCATAAACAAATAATCCTTTTACTGTTAGCCAAAGAAGAAATAGACTTTGGTTTAGGTCCTGTGTCTGCCCGTTACATTTTTCAGGCCGCACTGAATGGTTTAATCAGATCTTTACATTTACAGTGTATCATTAGAGCCAAATACAATAAAACAGATAATTTTAACAGGACAAAGGAAGCTGTGTTTTGATTTTCAACCTGTATTTTTGAGTGAAGCACTTGTGTAAGTATTGATTTTCTTTTCCTGTTTGCACAGATTCAAAATGAGTATATTCAACAAGGCTGCCTGAACTTCAGACTGGTTCCTGTGTTGTTTCCCAATGCAACAAAGGTAAGAAAAAAAACAGCAATTTTCAGCCAATTTTCAGTCTTCATTCAGCTCCCTCTGACGAATGAAGACATTAAAGGATCACCACTAAACAAAGATTCCATCTGGGTGTTATTAGATGAATTTGGAAAGGTACTTGTGTTTGATTTAATGTAGTTGTGAATTTGTAGAAATCAAAGGAAATGGGTTGGAGGCAGGTTGAATTTATTGTGCAGTAACTGTAAAAAGGGAGACGTGCCATCAATATAGAGATCTTCCATTTTTATAATGACATTATGAGTCCTTAATTGACAGGAGCTATCTAATAGAGAGGGATGGTAACCATAGTTTGCATATAAATGAGAGAGGGGGGAGTTCCCATTCAAAACGCTGCCTTATTTTAGTCCTGATTTTTAAAAGACTGTTTTACATTAGAGGTTAGTGGAGGGAAAGAAAATAACAGCGTGCCAGAGGAGGTAGGACGACGGCTCAGTTTGGAGTTGGGGCTTTTTCCGCAGAAAACATTCCGACATGGCGGGTATGTGGCATGAATGATGTCTGAAATACTTTTAGCAGCTTCACTTTCAGGGTCCTGGTATTGTTCATGGCGGCTCACACTGAGGAGACACTTGAACAGCACAGAGCCACTGTTAATGTCGCAACACCTATAATTTTCTGCCCCAAAACGTCTGCTCTACTACATACTTTGACGTACGACAGAGCAGCCACAACATTAAAACCACTGACAGCTGAAGTGAATTACACTGATTATCTCGTTACAATGGCACCTGTCAGTGGGTGGGAGGTATTAGGCAGAAAGAGAAGAGACGTTTCTCAAAGTTGGTGTGTTGGAAGCATTGAAAATGTGCAGCGTGAGGATCTGAGAGACTTTGACAATGGACAAATTGTGATGGTAGACAACTGGGGTCAGAACATCTCTATAATGTCAGGTGTCGTGGGGTGTTCCTGGTGTGCAGTGGTTGGTACCTACGAAAAGTGGTCCAAAGAAGGACAACCAGAGAAGCAGGAACAGGATCATGGATCCCCAAAGCTCCCACAGAATAATTACTGTAGCATAGACTGCTGAAAACCTCAATTCTGCTGATAGAAAGGCGTCAGAACACAAAATGCTTCACAGCTTAACTTCCGGTCTAAATAGTAGCAGATATGTCTTCATCTGATGAACTGCCAAAACCATCAGTGGTCAGGTGGAGGGTTCTAATTGATAGAATGAGCCTCAGAGGGAAGACAATGGAAGTAGATATTATAAAAACATGTGCTCAGTAAGAAATTCAGATACTTATGTCTACGGAGGTAATTAAGTCCAATCTTTAGTCAGTTAATAACAGATCTTGATAATGTCTGAGTCATTTTTGATATATAGGGTAGTTAAGCAGCAGATTGGTCAGAGTGTTCATACTGACTCTGGTTTGCTGCTGAAAGCTCCTACAACGTGAATGTCAGAATGTCAGACTGCTTTACAACTACTAATGTTCTCCTAAACGTGCTGTGTTTGGATTAACTGCGGCGATACGAAGGATCAACAGTCCACTGAATAATGAAGGCATCAACTGCTGCAGTCGCTCTGGCCATTATGAAATCGCTGAAGTTTTAAATTAAATCAGCACCAAAACAGACTCTAATGTGCTGAAGTGGTGCAGATAACACATTTCGACATACCAGCCTCAATGAGTGCACTTAAATTAATTGCATAACTGTTGGATAAAATGTTCATCAGCAGCAATCTAAGTGAAATGAGAAGCTGACTGCAGCTGCTGCATTTAAATGCTCACCATGAACTCACACACACTCTGTGAATAATACATAAATACTCTGAACAGCTACATTTGGTAATTGTTTTCTGAATTATTCTATGGGTGTACAATTGTCTTTGTAGTCTTACTCAGACTGATTGTCCACATGGTATAAAAGAAACAGACTAAATGGAGGCAAGATAACAGGAGGGACTGTTTAGTGTCATTTGCTCAGTCTGAAAAAATGACAACGTTATGATTTCATATTGGAGCCCGAGAAAAACCACAAATGTCTTTGGTAAATGTTGATGGTCTGAAATAATACTGAGGACAAGTTCAATACATCAGCACAGAGATGAGAGAGAAATCCAGGAGTTTGAGGTCACTTTGTGGCACTCGCTGGCAAACAGGGGGAATTACTGCAAATACTTTTTTTTTTTACTGTGTTAAAATGAGCAAAAATTTGATTTATTTTTACGGATATTAACTGTTACTGGGGAAAAAAATGTATATTACAGATCTAAAAGTTGTATTTTACAGATTTTCCCAGTTCTGTTAAATTACAGAAAAAAACATCCATTTATTTATTCATTTCATGTCCACATCAAAAATCAGTATTTTTGCAAACAGTAATTCATTGTATTGCAATGTTTGACTGTAAAATTGCACAATTTTTAAATGTAATAAAAGCAACAAAAATATCCAAATTTTACAGATATTTGCTGTAGTTCGAGAGAAAAACTATGTAAGTTAAGAACTGTTATGAATTACAGATAATGTCTGCTGAAATCATGGACAAAACAGTAACACACTGTTAAAAAAATTTAAATTTAAAAACCAGGCGGATACTGTACATAATGTCCACATCGAACATCTGTACTTTTATAAATAGTTATTATTTTTGTTTATTATCATTGTTACTAATATTATTTTTTACAATTTGTGAACATAAAATTATTGCTCTCCTTTAAACAGATCATTATTTTACTGATATTTGCTGGGGGGTTTTTTTGTTTGTTTTTTTCTTACTAGTTTTTAAGCAGTGTAGTATTAGATTGCAGATAACTAGTAAAAAACTTAACAAAAAAATATTAATTTACATGTTAGCTGGAAAAATATAAAAACAAATAAATAATAACAGGACAAAACTGTTAATAATCTGTTTGTTTGTTGTTGTTGTTTTTTTGTTTGTTTGTTTTTTAAACAGTTTTACTTTATTAAAATCAGCAAACAAAAACAACATAATACTATTTTTTTTTAACATACACTTTCTGTCATTTTCTCAGTTTTTATAGTTTTTATGTGTTTTCCTGGCACACTGGCTGTTTTATTTTATTTTATTTTTTAAATATATGTAATTTTTTTCAGTGTAAAGGTATTTACATGACTACTGAAATCCACAGTTTCACTGCGGTCTCTACCTGCTCACTCACTTTGCTTCCTGTGTTTGTGCGTCACAGAATCACGTCCCCAGCTGGCTGAGGAACACCAGGATCTACCGCTGGCCTCAGGACAACCAGGACATCGTGCTGCGCCTGCTGAGGGAGGAACGCTACATCCTCCCGCAGCGTAGCATCGACCTCACCCTCACTGTCCGACCTCTCTCACATCACTGACAAAGACTCCTGGAAGATATGCAGCATCAAGGAAATGGTTTACTCAAGCTGCTGTTGGAACATTTTTGTCAGAAACACGTTACAAGAAGGTTCAGTTTCAAAGTGTTTTACCTTTTGTTGCCTGTTTTTCTGTTTGATTCATGATTCACTTTGACAATGTCGTATTATGAAAATCATTCAGTCTTTTTCCATTATGCCAGCATATGAAATGACAACTGATCATTAATAACATTATAGATCTGATTTACAAGTAAAGCAACTTTTACTGGTTTTGGCCACCAGGGGGCAATGAAAGGAGACAAACACTCAACATGTTGAAAGTTTGAGAGTTTAAAACTATTTTGTGGTTACATACTAAATATTAAATGAGCATAATTTTAGTTGTTTTTTAATCCACCTGGTTGTTTGCGCTGCTTTCATTTGGAGTTTTACAAAAACAACAGAATTTATGGGCTATGAAACCAAAACAATGACTTTAAAAATGTTAAAAAAAAAACATCTGTACTTGCAAAATTGAATGCTAATTTTCTGTATGCATGTCAGTAAGCTTGACTCCTTTTATAATACACATTAGGTTCATTGTATATGAATTTAAACATTTTGGTGAGTGCAGCTTTAAAGGGAGGCATCTTTTGAATTTAAAGTGTTAAAGCGGGAAACATGTACTGTCGGACGGATTATGGAAAATGCAGACAAAAACAATAGTATTTAAACACTTTTTGCGGTTAATTTTCCAATTTTAAATCATCATCATAAGTATATTTCTATTCTTCTGTGATCAAATTTGAGCTCATTATGGCATTACGTTTGTTCATCCATCTATATGAGAGTTTTGTAACTTACAGTTTATCCATAAATCATAATATTTCTGCTTATCATTACACCGTCTGTGTGTAGTTGTAGTAAAGCACATGGTTAACCAGAAGGTGGCAGCATGTCCCAAGTAATATCAACACTCCTGCAGCATTGGCCTCTTTTCATGGTGAATGCTCTGATTTCCAGTCCACACATTATATTTTTATTACTGTACAATAAATGATCTGTTTCAATGAACTAATGAGAATATCCAGCTGGTTCTTTTCATTTTGGCTGAAGGTAACATAAAAAAAAAGGAGTTTATGAGGCTCGTAAAGCATCAGTGTGATAAAAGATCTGCAGACAAAGAGGTGAAGGAAGTCTGACAGCAGAAACATCCTGTCCATGTGTTGCACACCGACTCCCTGATAAGCCAACATGTGTGGGCCACTTTTAACTGCCAGCTTTCACCCTCAACTACATCTTTTTTTTTTTACCCTGTTGGTGCCCACAGACTCGCTGAGCCTGTTTACCGAACCTGTCGGCAAAAAGATGATTTGCTCACGCTGGTGTGTGTGAAGGGAACTCTGCTGATGTCCAGGCTTTTATCAGCTCCTGCACGAGGGTGTTTTCTGTAAACACGGCTGCAGCCAGCACCAATAAATCTACTGTTTGTTATTGTTCCAGGACTTGCGTGCCACTCGACTCGGCCTTATCTGGTGAGTCCAAAGCAACCAGACGCAGATATTTTTCCCAAAAAGGCCTGCCTGCATCCCCTTTCCATCCACGCCTCTGCTTGTAAAACGTGCTTCGCTGTAGTCGCTGCTTTTAGGGTCTTTGTCCTACTGAGGTTTATCCATGACCACGAGACACAGACCTGCTGAAGAGCCCTTTGAGGATCAAATAAACATTGACTACTGCCTAATGAGAAGCATTTTTATTCTTCACAATGAACAAAAAAAATCTGTAGACAAATAGTAGGAGTCTGGCAGCAAGGGTGCCAGAAAAAAAGTTTTTTAAAAAACAATGGAATCTAAAAAAAAAATTAAAAATTATGACAATAATGGCAAATATCTGTAAAATCACAATATTTTCTGCTGATTTAAACCCAAGGAAAATAGTGTGATTTTATGATCATGTTGTAAAAACAACACACTAAAAAATTAAAGTTAGAACAGTTTAAAAATGTTTTTTTAATCATTTTTCTTTCAAATAATAGCAAATATCTTTAAAATAATGTTTGTTGTGATTTAAATACAATAAATAATAATAAAAAATAATAGAAAAGTCCTTTATCTATGATTTTTCTTACAAATAACAGCAAATATCTATTTAAAATATATATATTTTGTGAATTAAAATAATGTAAAAATGGTGTAATTTTACAGTAAAATGTAGTTCAGGAACCATTCATAGAAATACGTCTTTTTAATGTGGATGTTATTTTAAAAAATAAAATCTGTGATTTTACTAGATATCAACTGCAATCAAACAAAACAGGGGAAATCTGTAAATTATAACCTTTTTTTTTTTTTTAAACCCTCCATTTTATTTCAGTATCTGTAAAATAAGTATTTATTTTCCTTTTTTTGATTACAGTAATAAAAAAGAGGGGAAATGTGAGGTCAAATGTTTTGTCCTGTTTTTGTATGTTTTGGATGTAAATAATTTGTTCTAGGATTTCACTCATTAATATCAGTAGTGTAACAAAACAGTGCAAATAACAGTAAATTGTTTAAAACCCTATAGTCAGAAACTGCTTTAAAATTTGTTTTTACAGTGTAGAAGACATAGATACAGTTAGGGGGGAAAGAGTCTTATTGGTATGGCTTGTTTAGGATTAGATTTGTCCCTCTTTTGAGAAGTTGTGTAAATTTCTGACCCATGTGAAACTCCTTTATCAAAAGTGACCTTTTACTTCTCCATTTATGAAACACAGTGTTCATTATTGCAGGTTCAGAGTTATGTTTATCACTAGTTTAACTCTTAATGAAAGGTGACTTTCAAGCATTTTTAATTACAGTTTGTGGTTTTATTTAGCTGAAGTTATTGCTGCATGAAAAAGGTAGAAAAACATTGTTGCTGTTCCTCCTCGATTCATCCCCCACACCGCCAGTGACGTCCTTAAAAAGCAGATGTGAGTAGAAAATGGCACTTTGAGCATCTCAGCTGAGGCTCTGCTCCCTCTGGGGCCGTCCATACTAAAAATGTATGCACTCAGAGTAGCATACAGCACTTTAGATAAAAGCTCCATCAAACACTACATTAAACATGGCATACATTATACTTCTGGATTAGTCGGACGTTGAATGTGTTTCTCCCCGCTCAGACGTCAGCAGACGCCTGCTGATCAGCTCATTAAGGATCTGACTGAAGGTCAGTTCACGGAGCTGCAGGTCGAAGCTGAATCTACGTCAGGTGGAAACACTAATGAAACATTTTTCATCATCGGGGAGTCATTGGCTGCGATGTCCTCAGCTTGAACCGGACCGAACCAGCTGTTTGGAGAACATTAAAGCAGAAAGCAGTGAGCTCAGCACATTTGGTTACTGCTGCCGCCACGAGTTGAATACTGAAGAGTCTGAAGCTGTGGAGGCTTCCAACAAACTGCTAATGTGGAGTCACGCAGGATGAGAAGAGATGTTTTAAAGTTTGAGTTGGGATAACAGCAACTGCATTAACGCCACAAACACAAGAGTAAATTAAAGCCGCATGCGGCGATGGACGGGTCCTCGCCCTACGCTTGTCGGCCTTCGCGCACGGCGGG